ACGCGTTTTTGTTATTTGAAAAGACATAAAAAAGAAAGTGTTTAATTTCAGTCTACGATAATGAGGAAATTGGGGTAACACTGCAGATATTTGCGTTTCTAGAAAATCAGTTAAAGGAACTTTTGGCGGATTATTACGATTATTCCTACAGTGGATTCATCGGTGCAAATGGGATTAAATGTTTAAAAAAACTTTTGTTCTAGTTTTCAACAATGATAAATTTTCAGATTTCTGCATCTTGTTTCTAATCCTATTGACTAACTTTTGATGAAAAAAGATCTTAGATTCTTAAATTCAATTATATTCGTGTTCCAATACGCCATGTGCCTATGTCATAACTGGAACACTCATTTTCATTTTCAAAACCAACATTTTTATGTTATAGAAAGGATATTTTACTAACATACTTCATAAATCTATTTGGTCTGCAGGCATTCAGTGAGAGTGATTCATTGATCCGTACGCTGCAGACATACCGACAGGGACAGCCTTATAATGAAATGTTGAGGAGCTTCGCCACTACCTTGCATTTTTATTCACCCCGAGCATATCAGTTCGTACGCCAGGCATTCCAAAACCGCTTGCCTCATCCCAGGACAATCATACGTTGGTATAGATCTGTCGATGGGGAACCCGGATTGACCGCAGAGACAATGGCAGCTCTAGAAATTAAGGCAAACGAGTGCAAAGCGACTGGTAAACGGTTGCTCGTAGTGCTAATGATGGATGAAGTGGCAATTCGGAGACACACAGAATGGAATGACATAAAAAAATGTTTTGAAGGAGTAGTTCAGTATTCAGAATTTATACCAGATAACTCAGACGAGTTGCCCGTGGCGAAAGAAGCCTTTGTTTTCATGGTCACCGGAATATCGGAAAATTGGAAAATTCCAATTGGATACTTCTTATCCGACTCCCTGGATACGGAACAAAAAGTCTCTCTTATCGAAAACATTTTGATGTATTTGCATAGCATCAGCGTAACCGTGATTTCGTTCACATTTGATGGAACCAGCACGAATTTCAGCACCGCGAACAGGTTGGGTGCATGCCTTAAGAACGGTCCAAATTTGAAAACCTTCTTTCCGCATCCTTCTAGCAATGACCCGGTTTTCATTATGTTAGATCCGTGCCATATGCTAAAGCTTGTTAGAAATACTTTAGCAGCCAAAGCGGTTTTTAACACGAACACAGGGCATATAAAATGGAAATTTATCGAGGAGTTGAATAAAACCCAAAATCTCTGTGGCATAAGATATGCTGGTCGACTGTCGGACAGACATATAAATTTTGCTAACGAGAAAATGCGCGTTGATCTTGCTGCTCAGACGCTCAGTCGAAGCGTTGCTGAAGGCATTCGACAACTGAGTGAGACCTGCGATGAATTTACCGGTTGTGAAGAAACAGTTGATTTTATAACAACTATAAATGATGTGTTCGACATTATGAATAGTAAGCACCATGACAGCGTTGGCTATAAGAAACCCATGTCAGCAGATAACATTGAGCAGTATGCTGCGTTGTTCCGTAAAGCAGAACAACTTTTTAACTCCTTGAAGATTCAGTACAAAAAGTCGGAAGCTATGGTGTGGTCCCCGGTGTTGACATCCATCAACAAAACTGGATTTCTGGGGTTCGTTATTGACATGCGCAGTTTTTTGGAATTGTATGAAAGGTACGTGGTGCAACTAGGAGAACTTGATATGATCTACGGATACAGAGTCAGCCAGGATCACCTTGAAACGTTTTTTTTCGGCTATTCGATCTCGAGGAGGGTTCAATAACCCTACTGCTGTGCAATTTAAGGCTGCGTACAAACGACTGCTAGTAAATAATGCAGTACGTTCATCTGCTGCAGGTAATTGCACTGACTTCGATGAAATAAAAATGCTGCATGTTAGCGACAAAGCCCAGTACTATTTAGATGCGATAAATAGTCGAAATCAGGCCAAGGTGTCTGTTCTAATTGAAATGGATCTTCCTGTTAATGAAATATGCAACTCGACAAACTTGGATAACGCTATCTTCTCTTGTGCAATTACGAATTTGGCACATACTGTACATAAGAACTTGATAAAGAAGATCAAATGTGACGAATGCTTGGAGGAATTGACCAAGATGGACGGATCCGCACAGAATGATATTTTTATCATCTGTAAGTCTGCGGAGAAGGCGTTCAAATCGTTGGTTGGAGATTATAATAATTTCAATGTTCCCAAGTATTATTCAAAGTTGGTAAATAATGTCCTTCGGCAAATACTGGATAATCCGAAAGTGTTTCAAAAACTGTCGCAGCATATCCTGGAGCAAGATGCTTTAAGAAATCATCGTAATCTCCTGATAAAACTGACAATTGAACTGTACTTAAAACTTTGTTTGGAAAACTATTCTAAAAGTTTTTCAGGTTTTCGAGCAACGCTGCGCAAAAAGCTCACTAAACTGATTTTGTTTCAGGGTGATTGATTGTTAAGCATTAACTTGGTTTTTAATATGTCAATGTATTCGTTAAAAATTTATGATTGTTATGCAATAAAAACAAAGCTACAAGTTCCAAAATACTGACTTTAAGTTTCTTTTCAATTGTTCTAACCACACATGACTGTTATTTCCATAAAGAAAAGTGGTAAAGGATTTTCATCTAGAAGCTTGCTGTGGTAACCAAAACCCAAAACCATTCCAAGTTCAAAAAATCGTTGGTGGAACAAGTTGCATATCACTGTGTTTCCGTTTCATGTATAACTACCTTTTATTCCCCTCCCGCTTGTAACGTATTTTGCTACATGGTTGGTCCCCCTAAAATGCTACGTCATTTATACATCTTCCCTAAATCGATTTACTCGCATCGGGATCCATCTTTTTGCAAGAAAAATACATCATCAATGTTTTATCACAGACAAACAGACGTAACTCTTCATTGTGTATCTTCGTTCATGCATTTAACGGTTGATTTGAATATTATCAGTTCCGCGAACTACTCGCCGCAGCGCTGGCATCGGATCAGTTTGACGTTTCTATATATTCTATAGAAATTTTATGCAATATTGTTTACGAGTTAGCGAGCAAGCTTGTTTTCCGCGAGAAGCCAGATAGATGTCGCTACTGATGTTATATGTTTTGAGATACTATGTTTTCAAGAACAAGTTTTTCAAAGAGTTACGTCTGTTTGTCTGTGGTTTTATCTTTCTACTCATCGCGTGCGCAAAATCTTCTCTGTATTTTAGATAGAGTCGCCCCCCCCCCCCTGGTCACGTCGTTGATAGTGGTGGGGATGGGAAGGATAATAACCAAAACTCAAAACCAGGAATTGGACCCTTTGTCGTTTGGTGTTGAGAATGTTTAGTTACCTTACATAACGCCGGAACAATTTATTTTAATCTGGACTGGAGAGCTTCAAACTTATCTGGCACAACACTAGTATTGTAAAAAAATAATCAATTTCAATGTATCAATTTATCTTATAATAATCTTTTTTTTTTTTCATTAAAAACTTTTAACGCGATATAACCATGCGGCACACATGAATGTAGCTTAAAAACGTGTTGTCAACACTAACACCACCACCATCGGTGGCGGCTTCAGCGAGTACTAGTCTTGCCAGGGATCTGATTTCGGACCGACTAGAAGTTAAATTTTGTTAACCGTGGCTGAGTTCTGTTTGAAAACTGATCAATTTCCGGCATTTTCGAACATTGAACATAACTTACGAAATGTCACGTTTAACCACAAGTTAAATTTAACTCGGCAATTGGTACACAGCCCAAGAAGTATTTCTCGATTACTTTTTCGAAGGAACGTATCAGGTTTTGTAAACAACGCATTTGATCGTCGATTTGGCGTAACTGATAGCTCGCTCACACATGCTAGTACTACCATCAGATAGGGGAAAATTTTCCCAACCTGTTAGCGGTGTTAGTATGTGGGGCGAGCTATTAGTTATGCCAAACCGACGATAAAATGCGTTGTTTACAAAAGCTGATATGTCCTTCCGAAAAGAAATCGAGATTTGTAGTTATCATTCAGGCAAGGAGCGCTTCCGCCATCGATGCGACGCCACTACCAGCAGCCAATGATCTCGACGGGAACGACGCGCAAAGTTCGAGGTGCAAAACTCAAACTCTGCACGCTTGACAGGAACCGCCTTCCAACTGCTTCTGCTTGCTGCTGCTATCTGCTTACCCGCCGTCCGAAGCGAAAATAAGTTGAGGCACATTAGCAACGCTGTTTTACAACTTTTCTGATTCAAGTAGCACGATGTGCAACCAAATTGTACTTGATTATGAGGACTGGGTTTGGGGTGAACGATTATTTCATGAAAACAGTGTTAAAATTATCACTTTTTATTTGTCCATTTTTAAAACAGTTTTTTATGAAAAATAAAAAAAAAGTTTATTGCACTAGCTTACGAAAAGTATTTCCTATAGATTGGTGTATTCGGATTTTAATTTCATCTATAAATGACAAAGCTTATATGGTTGAAAAAATTACACCTTTTCGTGACGGTCGCAATTTTAGATTTTCGATTTACCCCCAGTACCTTCCCGTAAAACGTAGTCTACGTCAAAAAAAAAATAAATCGATCAATCTTGTGATGCATGGTCATTATCGGTGTCGTTGCTTGATTTTTGTTGCTAAGGAACCCAATTTAGGCTGACAACGGGACAAGCCTTTGGAGAGTGCTCTAACTCTTCGAAGGTTATAAATAGCTGAACTTTTCAATTAGAATCGATTCCTTGCGATGAAGGCAAGAATGACAATTGTATCAAAACCGAATACTTCATCATTTTTCAATAGTGGTGTAGTATTTTGTCTCGAAAAAAAAATCATCTTAACATATAAAAGAAAAATTATTTTATGGATGGACAATGAACTTCTTTTGGGGATACTTTATGAGTGCTGCAATAATTTTTTGCACAGCCTTTACATATGTATGTTGATGAAAAATTAAACCTTCCATCGTAACCTACTTCACAAGCTGATTCAGTCATGCATCGTGTGTTGGATCAAACAGGTCGTACCAAACATTTTCAATTAGCTTCACCATTCCTCTGATGTGGTTGTCATATGCCTAGTGATTTAATGAGTTCTGCTTCGAATACGGCTGTACAAATGGGTTTTGTGCAACGCGACATTATCTAGGATGTAAATTTTACATTTTGCTATAGTTATTTCTATCCTAACGTGAGAGACATCATACCTCTGGGAGTTTGCCTATTATGTACACGTCTCTTTGTATTTTTCACACCGATAGCGGTGTCAATCACGACTAATTTTCCTAACATTTTGATATTGTTTCCAATACTTTCATTACTCAACCGGTGCCAGCCTGTGATCCATTGCTCAGTATCACAGGGTAACGATCAGTGTTGTATGGAACAAATCGATATGTGCAAACAATAGGAAACAATTCAGTACTGGGAATGCTCTGTAACGTATTTTCTATTTTCGGATGGACTTACACCGCAAGTCACCTGTAAGCACCGTTCAAGAATATTGATTTCAGCGCCAAACAAAACCATGACGATGTTAATGATAATATAAAATTTGTACCACCCGGAGCCGCTGCCAGGTACGCTAAGCTAAAACTATGTTTATTTATTAAAATGCTATTAGCGCTGCTATTCCCGTGCTGCATTGCGGCTGGTTTCTCGCCGTTTATGACGTGGACGAATACACTGGCGGAATCTGCAATGGAGAAGGGAAACAAGAAAGGAGTAGTTAGTTTAAAAGCTGGCATTAGTTTTTTGGAACTGTTTAAACTTTTTGCTCTCTGGTAATGGAAGATAAATGGCACGAAAGGATCCCACGAAAACGGTGAGCTCAATTTGGGTCATATTCTGAGCGGAAAGTTTTTATGAGTTATTTCAGGCTCGAATTATAAGATAAGCTCATTTTACTACTTGTTACTCTCGGTTACTGCATTTTACTTACAGCAATAGAAGAATACAGCTACGTTTTGATTCTCATCAACAAACTGTGATGTTTGTTTTCAAACAGAATTATTCATAGAAATCAATTCATAGAAATTCACGACGAACAATAGAAACCGCCTCAAGTCGGTTGCACCCTCTTTTCGCAAATAAGAGCTTGTCCAGGAAAATAAACATCTCCATGGGATATGGTTGGGTCTTTCGACTCCCACACATTTGCTTTCACCCTCCAGTGCCCATAAAGGACCCGTAAAAGTAAACTCATTTTTATAAAATGGACTTTTTTTAGCTTGGAACTGATTCCCTATGCCACTTGGGTTCAATCTGGAACGCTTTACAGTAAATCAAAGAAGATTGGTATAGCTTTCAATTACAGCCAGTGTCATACAATTTGGCTAAGAATTGGATTTTTGACAGGCAAAACAAAAAGGTGCCACCTATGGGCACTGAAAGGTTAAGGTGACCCTAATAAAACCAGACTATTTATTCATTTATACCTTATGGATGTAATAATATAAGATGAGTGTCGAAATTTTTGTCATGACACATATATAGGCGTATAATGTTTGAAAAGTTGATTTTGAATTTGTAATGTTTTAATGAAAATTTGAAGACGCTGACAGAATCTGGTTGAAGACAGAATATATTTCATGTTGAATGTTTGCAGTGCAATTTTCCTCATATGAGCGCATAGTAACGGATGGGCGTTCGAAAATTCCCTTATGCGTTAATTTGCATTACAGGAGAAGCGCATGTAGATCGATATTTCCGCGCCCAGTTAGTTTTGATCAAAACTACTCATGGTTACTCCTGAGTAACCACCACGATAGACTTGCTCAACTCTTTTAGCCAATAGCAACAGTAGCGCAGCCAATTATTTCCCAAAAAAATGCATCCCTTTTGGGGCGTTAATCTCTATCATTCTTCCTTTTCGTTGAACCACTGTGCAGTAATCATTGTTAGCTGAAACTAATCGAGCAATTTTGTGGCAGCAAATTCGTGAATTTGGTCATTTATTCCCATAGCACTCCTAAGAAGTGAAATCTACGCTAGGTACTATTCACAACCATGCAAACAAATAAACCGAAGAAGATGCTACTCGTTACGATAAATATTCAACTGGCCACAGATACAGATCGATAAAATAAATTAATCCATTTGCACCAACATTGGAGTGGTCAACCAGAACTAAAATTCGCTCATCCACTTTATTACACGGCAGCAGCAGAGCCATTAAGTTGCCAACAAATGACTTCGGGCAGCGCTACAAATTTTGTATCAACCCATTTTCCATCCTATCAACACACTACGTAAACGGTTCACCGCGATATGGAAACTTTTTGATGTTTGTGCATGAAATTAGCGATCGTGCGTGTAGCCGGGGTTGTTTTTCGGTTTGGCAAAATATTATTGGTAAATATAATTTTCCAGATGGTGCATATTGGCCAACCCCAGACCGGGACTATTAAAGCAGATAAATTATGAATCCCTGGCGCACTCTTGCGAGTGTGGACCACACTTGGCCAGCCAGCAGCAGTTTTCCAGTGGCAGCTGGGGCACGTAAAGAGCTGGTCTCCGTTCTTCCTGCTGCATCCGACAAACCAACCAATTCTCCATTTAAGCTAGGAAATCGTTTGGAAACGATTGAGTTTTTGAATGTGCCACGGTCAGTAGTCTACCGCACCGATCCATAGATAACGCGGAAATCTGTTAGGGGATCTCTAATTTGGGTTGTTATTCGAAATGGTTAATTTTATTGCCCCGGTCTGCGTCACTGTTCCAAATGAAATGGTGTCCGTTATTAGGTTTGACTAAAAATGAGACGAGAATTCACTTTAATTGCCTCGTGCAATAATTATGATGGGGTCCGATTCTCGGAAAGCTAACGCTAAAAAAATGAACACTGCGTTACGCTTAGGATAGCATTTGAGTTCATTTTTGGCATCTGTCATTCCGGGGCTTTAGTCGAAACCGACATTATGGCACTGAATGGCTACAATTGCAACCGCGCATAGTTTGGAATGAGTGTGACATTGTGGAAAATGTGAGCAATAATTTTTGCAAATGACTGTACCGGGTGTTTGATTTATCTCGGTGTCCTGGCGCTGGCAATCAAGCGCGAAAATGTTTGTCGAGGTTAACCGTATTTAGATGAATGGTGGCCCATCAACGGTCGATAGACAAACCTGACTAATGATGCTGAAATGAGACGATTCAATTTAAAATATTTTTAATTTAATAGCTGGCGAAATGTTGTTTTTGGTTAGTACATCTAATAAAATACAAATCATTTTATTTCTTTCAGTTGATAAACCCAACCAGGAAAGAAAACTCTCATGCAACTTTGCATAAAATTCCAATTCTACCATCATTTAACATAATTTTCCATTGAATTACATAACCCTTAAAACTTCTCCAAATCCTCGATGAAAGCGCTAATTTCACATGCAAAAGTAAACAAACAACCAAAAGCGATAAATATCGCCTACGCCATTTCCGCATATCATCTAATGCATATTCTATGCCCATTTATTGGCAAACCGTGCCCCTAAACGACACCCATTCAAATCAAACCACCCACCCTGATGGGCTGACTGGATTCGCTGCCGGCACCATATCAGAGACACGGTCGAGCCAAATCAGGCTGAACTAGCGGTGTGCCATTTCTGTCAAATGGATGACATTACGATGCCGATTCCCGGCGCGCGCTTGCAATTAATTCAATCACCATACCTGCCAGGGTGACCTTATTAGGGGGAAGCACACATCACCTACCGACCCGGGAATAAAACTATGTTGTCAGCATGGCAAAGGCAGCCGTTCGTTGTTGGCGACGCAATAATCACCACCTTACGAACGCTAACGACCCTACTGGGACGGGCGACCTTCTGCACTTTGACATATTGCACCAATTATCAGCCAATAAAGTAGCGATTCTCGACAGTTTTCGTCGTTTCAACAATGGGTACTAGGACGGGGTGTGAGCCTAAAGGACTTAAACAGGTTCAATATATTTATACTTCAATAAACAGTTTGAATGATTCCATCGATCGCTTTCCTTAATGCTGTTCTAAGTTTTTCCCGCCCTCGTCGAAGTCCTGCACACACTCATGCATTTTTGATCCACATTCCTGCCACCATCGTTGTCGTCGCCCAGTTCGTTAATTTTGTTTTAAGAAAGTGTCCAGTCGTGTGCTGGCAGACTTAGGAAAGCTCTCAACGCCGCCACCCCACCACACCGGACTGGTTTCGTGACCGATTCCCATTAGGGTGTCAAATGAAAATCCTTTTTTTTTCGTCTCGCTCTATAAAAGTTTATTACACTTCATCGGCACTTTATACCGGCTGGTTCCATATGGAAGAGTCGTAAGGTGATGGTGTTTAGCTTCCGTACAGTTTAGCCTTGGTTGTTTTATAGTGTATATATGTTTATTGTATATATGTATGTATGCGTTGATAGCTAGAATTAGGCCAGTGAAGTACGATATTGCAAGTTGGGTTAAAGCATCATGGATCGTAAATTTAATCAACGTTGGAAGAATTGTAAGTTAAGCTGATATCATACGCGTTTTCTCTCACGTTGACTTGTTATGTTTTGCCAAATAATGCTATTTCTCATATTTGTTTGCCTAAGCCATTACATTTGTCTGATATTTGGTAAATATTTGACCAAAAATTACTTTTCGGCGGGCCTCCATTCGCTCAGTCGGTAAAGGTGCAGCTGTGAAGCAAGACAATGCTGGAGGCAGCTGGGTTTGATTCTCGATCTGGTCTATGATTTTTATCCGATAGAAACATGGACTTCCCTGGGCATAGAGTATGATTATACTTGCCTCACAATAATACTAATGCAAACACGGTACTGGCTTGGAAACCTCTCTATTAAATACTGTGATCAAAGAACACTTAAGAGCTGGCGCTAAGTTTTGGTAGGGAGGATCCTGCTAGTGTTCAGGAATATTAATGTTGAAAAAAAATTAAAAATTATAATAGCCTCTAACTGGTTATTAACATTCGGATTTCGTGTGTGTTAATAGCAAATCAGTTCAGTCTGTGAAAAATCGTAAAAAAAGACAATTACGAGATGATCAATGAAAAATGCTTTAATTTCATCAAATTATTATGCAGATGTAAACAAACGGTTTGGTTGACGTATCCTCTCGAACTCACCTGGCGCACTCTACGTTGGTGGTGCATTAAAAATGCCTATATAGACTTCGTTCATATGTTCGTTTATTTACGAAAAAAATTTCATTCAAATGAAATTTACCGGAATATCTCACCTTCTATAGTGTACACTGTGCCGCAAAATCTCGACAATACACGGTGATATTGACAACTTTGCTGTGGTCACTAACAGTCATCGTCAAGGCAAACCATGTCAATTGTCAATGACAATGCTGTCAGTGACGAACATGTGTAAATTTTTTTATTAAAAAAAAATTATGTGACATGAGTAACATAATTACAAGGAGCCGTTAAAGTGAACAAGCATCTATGTCTTGAACTACTTGAATAAAACGCTGTACAGACTGGAGAGTTATAACATGTTATAACGGTTGTCAAATAATTGCAACACAGAAACCACCCTCAAGATAGCGCTATAACATGTTATAACTCTGTAGTCTGAACGTACTATAACAATAATGTGACATAGAATGCACGAAATCACACTTTTTGTACCAGGGCAATCTTTTTCATTGACGAAAAAATGAATGATTTTTTGACGAAGGTTTTTTGAGAATCAAGTCTGTC